TGCCCAGCTCTCGCTACGCTCGGGCCCACGCTGTTCTTCGAAGATTTCAGAAACGCTTAGTTATAACGGACGAAAAAACCAAAACACCGATCTGCCGTTTGATATTTCTGTATTGTTACACCAACATATAAAAGGAATAAGCGAACTAAGGTCTGAAAACAAATATTACAATAATAAATCTTTGTATTACTTCTGACGATGTTTCACTCTTCTTTCTGAACAGCCACCGATGAGACGATGACTGTCGTATTGATGCCTCCGCGAAAATTGGGGAAGTTGATTTTAAGCAAACAACCAAGAATTGATCGTTCAATCTTCAACTCCATTGACATCACTGTTACTAGAACTGAGGCAGAATTAGTGACAGGCGATTTCAGTGGTAATTGATAGTGAGTAGATACCAGGACGTGCGTGGAGTATTATGAGGTGGTGCTATGGTCACGTTGCGTTCTGCAAGAGTCATTCTAGTAAGTGGCGTTTTTGTTGCTAAATGTCAAGAGGATGCCTTTAATTCGAAGATATAGGTCGTCATTGATGTGTGTGATTGTGCTGTCCGTATGCTGGTGGTGTGTTTACTTTTCTGTGTGATTTCTTTTTCATCTCTCTCCATGTGACCCAGATTCTCGCTACGGCATCCAAGTCAACCTGTATTGGTGGTGATGGAAAAATTGATGGATCCCATTTTCGACGGGGAGTGTCAATGTAGTTGAAGACTGAACTATCAATCCGTGGTTGTTTACTGAACCCCAACTCCCGCATATTTTTCGTGGGAGTCATAAATCCATCAGTCATCTCATCTTTCTCTGTTCATTGGATAAAAGAAAACTGTCAGAATTATTATCGTGATTCATTTTTATAACTTTTATTCCTTGAATCCTTGCCTATATTAATCTTAATTTATTTTTAAATCCACACTAGAATCAATTATTCTTCGGTGGCCAATCCGTTTTCTTCGGTTTTGCTTTGGTTACTGCACATTGTTTCTAAATGTCTCTTCGTGACGTTTCTTAATCCAATGTTGGAATAACTGGATATTTTACACTTGATATAGGTCATTAGAACAGCTTAACAAGCTGATTTGTATGGACATCTTTTTCGCATAAAAGAAGCCTGATCACCTTTTAATTCCGAACTTATGAATATGGTTTTCTTTGGAGCTGAGTCAGCGACCGATTTTGACAGCTTATCTTTCTTGTTTCTGTCAATAAGTCAGCTCGGGTAATTTTTTCATGATAATGTGGCTGCTTCCTTGACGTGGTGGTCGGGCTTGAACACCGCAATGATCTATTCAAGCTATACTGGCTGAGACTTATGTCTCTTGAGGTCCTACCATGCCAGGCAGGTTGTTTGGATAGCGATTATACAAAAAGCAGCTACCCAATCCAATACTATGATGCATACAAACTCACAAAATATCATGCCGGATTGGTTGGGGCCCGTATTAACAACGACCGCGCTTCCTGCTGCCACGCCACAGGGCAGGAGTGATAAGCGTGCTACTGAGACACACCGAACAATAAAGAACGAACAAAAACAGGCCGCATGTGACCGGCCTTAAGCAGTTGTCCCCTGGGCTCCGCGGTCACGCGGCCAACTTCCACGGTGTGGGCAGTCGGGAAGTAACAATCGCCCTCAAAATCCGAAATGCACACGAAACCTCTCTATTACTCACTCATCTTTGTCTTCATCTTCATCTCTACTATCTTGCCTTCCCTTCACTGATGCAACTGCTCTACTTGATAACTCTTCACTTCCTCTCCACTCTGCGTCCACTAAAAACGATGGAAGCCAAAAAGCCACCACCGATAGCCTCCTAAAGCCACGCCACCAATTTCATATAGGAACATTTAATGTTAGGACACTTTGATAAATAGGACAACAAGCATCACTAGCCAAGACCCTGGCATCCCGAGCCATTGATGTATGCTGTGTTTCAGAAACACGCAAACAAAACCCAAGTGTGGTTATTCACCTAACCCCACCTGGCCAACAGGTTGAATCTGCGAAATTCACCTTGAGGGTGTCAGGAGATGCCACAGCTAGTTCACGAGGATTAGCTGGCGTAGGGATAGCTTTGAGTACTAGGGCAGAAAAGACATTGTTTGAGTGGATCCCGGTAGATAGCCGAATGTGTGCTGTCCGCCTGAACGGATCGGTAAAAAGGAGAAAGGACTGATATAAGTATAAAACTTGGGCACTGTGGTAGAGTATAACTCCACTATGGATAAGATTTTATAATATAACTGTACAACACTGTGTGTGATTTATCAAAATAAAATGTTATTCATAATGGAGAGAAAGGACTGCACCACTCGCCGATGCCTTTTCGTTATCTCCGCCTACGCCCCCACTGACTGCAGTTCGGATGAAACGAAGGATGAGTTCTACCAAAAGCTGTCTAGTTTGCTGCGAAAGGCTAAATGCTCAGATATAGTCGTTCTAGCTGGTGACTTTAATGCTCAAGTAGGGAAATTTTGTCAATCTGAGAAGGATATCGGTGGCAACTATGCAGTCCCGTGCCAGCGAACCGACAACGGTGACCGTCTCCCACAGTCCTGTTCAGATAGTCATTTGTTTCTTGTAAGCACTAACTTCAAACACAAGGAGAGGCACTGTTTGACCTGGCGGGCACTTTCATCAAACCAATGCTGGACACAAATAGACCATATAGCAATAAGCTATCGTTGGCGTGGGTCGGTAGGAGATTGTCACTCCTTCTGGAACACGTGTGTAGATACCGACCATGCACTGGTCCGCGCTCGGGTGTGCTTATGACTGAACGGACGTAGGAAACAGCTGGCGGTAAAACCATCACGTCCCCAGCTCGATCAGGAATCTAATTCCGTATTTCAGTAAGAACTAGCTAAACACATATCTGTGTTCGACAGCTGTGCTCACCCTGAAGAAGCTTGGAAGAATATCCAGGCAGCCATAGATACAGCTGTAAAAGCTGTGAATAAGGTAAACCCAAAGGTGAGTAAAAACCACTGGATCTCTACCGCCTCATCCGAACTGATAGATGCTAGAAGATTTATTCCGGCGAGCTACAAATTCAATGAGGAGTGAAAGCTGCACAAAAGGAAACTTACGAAAAGTCCCCACAAGGACCGTGAACAGTAGTGGGTGGCAAAGGCGAAAGAGATGGAAAAGCTTCGACTATAGGCAACACCAGGCAACTCTTTAGGCTCATCAGGGAAACGGATGGGAGAAGGCAAATCATTGGTGAAACAATCTCGGGGAAAAGTGGTGCCGTAATTAGGTCCCAGGATAGACAACTGGATCGCTGGAAAGAGCATTATGAGGAGCAGTTTAGTTGGCCCACAGCCAGGCTCAACCTGCCGAACATCCAACACCTCCCTGGGTGGGATATAAGGCGAGAAATATTGAGGTTAGGCGTCGAGTGCTAGGTAAACAGGGGAAATCAATCGACGACGTTGTGAAGTTACAAAAAACTGAGATGGTTAAGACATGTGTTACGTATGCCAAGCCATCGCCTCCCTCAACGAGCAATGTTAGCGGGTATAGGGTCAGGCTGGAAAAAAGCTAGCGGCGGTCAAACAAAAACTTGGCCTCACCAGTCAATGAAATCCACAACAGTTGGTCTAAGCCACGTAGGAAGGTGTAGACTTCCAGGCTGGGGTCCTCGGGACGGTAAAAATTTATGGTTGGAAACAATTGGTGACATGGCTCAAAATCGTTCTCAGTGGCGCAGATGCATCCACTCCTTGTGACTTATGATCTCCAATGAAACTGCTTTGTTTTTCTTTATTACTCCTTTGTCTCACCCCTCTGCTCACTGTTTCTATTATGCTTTTCTTCTACTTTCTTCTCTTACTTCGCGTACTACACGGAGTGTGGCGACTTGAACTTCCGCACATTTGTGCAAAGTTCTACGTCAGAAACAGACAGACAGACGGTGTGGCTTTTAGAAATGAATAGTCTGAGTCAACGCAGTAAGAACTATATTTTTTATTATTCTACAACTAGGAGAATGAATCTACCTTCCTTTCCTGGAGATAGGTGCCTGGCTATAAAAATTAGGTGGTTGTCCATTCCACGTAAGTTTCCAATGCGTAGATATATTGAGAGATCCGTCATTGCGTTTACTAGGGCAAACGTCAAGAAAGGGAATGCTTAGTTCAAAGTCATTTTCATTGATGAGTCGTAGAGGCGGGTGACAGTTGTCCAATGCAAGTAAAATATAATCAAGAATTACATTCTTATAGCAAATAAGGAAAGTGTCGTCTACTCATCTTCTGTAAATGTCATAGTGACTGAAGGTTTGACTAAGTTGACAATTTTTTAGCTTTGCCTTAAAACAATCACCTAGCAGTTAAACCAGTGGCAGTTCTATAGCAATGCCATCTCTCTGTTTAAAGGTGAACTGAAAGTTCAACGTACATCTCAGTAAGAGTTCTTTGTGGCAGGTTGTCGGCAACCAAATGTTCAAACTACATGCATCGACATAATCCCTAATACTTGTCAAGCGGATACACTCAAACCCCCTGCTTCTCATCTGATAACATATTTGCATTTACCAAATTATTTTAAATAGTCAGTTCCAGTGTGTGGCTGACTACTAGGTAGTATTCTCTCCATTATAAAAACCACATGTCAGCCAGTTATCAAAAACGATGAATGTCCAGTTGTTATCACGTTAGAGCTCACGACGCCCCCAGAAGGTATTCGAAAACAGTTTATATTAACCAACAGTTGTAAACAAAAAGTGACTGAAGACTGGACAATCCTCTATATTTACGCAATCACGTAACCAACAATAAGGTTATTATACAAAAGGTTTCCAGGAATAAATCTTATAACAATAAATCACGATAATATTTCTGTTAGCTTTCTGCCTTCCACCGAACAGCGAACAACGAGACGATGATTGATGACTCCCGCGAAAAATATGGAGGAGATGGGTATGAGTAAACAACCATGAATTGATCCTTCAATGCTGAAGAAAATTAACACTATGAATAATCAAGTTCCTAGAGCAACGGCCAATATAACTGGCTCCACAAGCGCAGTTGAATTGATAGATACAACTAGAAGTGACTAGTCTAGGTACTTCATTTTTCAGTCGGGGAATCGACATCGGTCGTGTGGAGAATAAGACGTGTAGTTCGCCAGCAGTAAAAGTTCTCTGAACTGATTTTCTTAATTTCTTCGCAACTATCTCGCTTGGTATATCGCCCATGAATTGTAGTTGTCGTTGTTCAGTATCCAATCTATTCATTAGTCCATTAACACTAAGACTAACCCAGTCGGTGAATTTTATTTGGACCTGGGATATGTGGGTAGAAACGTGGGCAGTTTCCCGTTGTGACATGGGTAAAGTGTACGTTGAAAAAGTTGGTAAACTGGAAAAATTGGGACAATAAAATTTTTCAGGAGATGAAGAAAAGGGGGAAAAGCACCCAATATAGGTTAATTGTGTAGAGTTTTAACCTCGCTTTGCCCAAGTCTTTGCCAATCAAAATTACCCACTTAGTCCACATTATCCAGGTGCATTCTCTGACTGTTAACAGTAAGGTATTCAAAGAAGTTTTGGAAGTTTAAAGTCAAAAGTCATAGAAACAACAAAAAAGTCCGATGAACTTACTTCTTTTCTGAGATAAGTGAGAATAACCGGGATTCCACTGTAATTTTTGCTGTCATGGCAGAGAATCGGATAACCGCTGGCATTACCCTCTACTGGTGACTGCATTTTCAGGTTAATGGGGGCACCTTTCAGTTTTATATAGCACTAGTTTTATGTCTATATTTTGCAATAAACCTACATATATTAGCAAACATTCTGGGTCACAAGGTAAGAGTTCACCCTGACCACACAGTATAGTTAAATCCATCACGAGGAGTACTTCGAACCTGCCTCATATAGTGTCATTCGACCTTCAAACTGAACTTCAATATCCAATATTCCACTACTTTTCGACGGGCTTATATAAACCTTATTATTTTTTGTTTCCTCATCCCTGCCGGTCTGATATGACCATGATGAGAACTACAAAAATATTTCTGGACTAAATGATCTGTTGTCATCTTTTCAATAAAACTGCATCATTTATTGCTTTTCTATTTTGACTAGTTGCGCCAGGTTAGTGGTAATATAAATTGGCGTGACTGCTATAGTTTAATTTTTCCTAGTACGGTAAACGTTTAACTTTTTAAGTTATGATTATACGGAGAAACCCGTTAGGTCATTAAAGCTGGTTCCATGGATAACAAATATTCTCAATATAGTCAATTTCATTTCTAATTTCAGACATATTGGTCAAGCGTAGAAGGATTGAAGTTTGTGTAAGTCCTTTTCTGATAGATGTTTGTGCTCACCTGATCTATTCGTGAATTAATAAACTGGGGGCGCAGATACCACTTCTGGTAATGGGCTTCAAGTGTTTGTGGCTATACCAGTACTCTACAATGGCATAGTTGTCACTTGACTTTTGAACTTTCCTGCTTCATCCTTTGAGGTGTCTAGACCTGAAAGAAGGAAGTTGAAAGATGGATCAGGTTCATGGTTATTTCTTAGGATTTTAAACATGGTAATTTGATCTCCTGTCTGTCTACACAATCACTGAGAGAAGATATTCAAACCGTTAATCCTTCCTTGACAGTCAGTCACATCATAAATTACACACATACTCTTCATTTAACCCCTCATGGGATATATGGGTTCTCCAGAAGGCATGGATAGGCTATCAGGATGCAGTCTACTAGTTTTAACCTCCCTAGAAGTATGCGTAAAGTGGTGAGCATTTCCCATGTTTATTGCCCACAGTGACCTAAAACCTCAATTCCACCATGCCATAGTGGGCTGTAGTTTTCAGGTCATAACTAAATATGATACCCGAATCACTGTATCTAAACTTTTATGAGTGTTGTTTTGTCTGTGTCATATGAGCTGACGCGCGCCTGCTCACTATCATGGTTCCGCATTTCGACAAATTGATTGGCAACACCAATTCTTTGGATAGGTCTAGCAGTTTGCTGAATTTTTCCGGCAGCGTGGGCTTGTAAATATCATCATTAAGGTCTTTCTGATTCAATACGTTACTTGCATAGAGAACCGTAGAAGTTTCGGTGAGCTAGTGTAATTTACTGATACGCAACACTGATAATAAGAGGCCAAGTGTAGTGCCATATGAAATTCCACTGCGGAAGAAGAAGACTTCTGATTTTTCCCGACTGTTTGTTTCCTACCCATGATTAGGTAAATAATCAAGATTAACAAACCGCCCTCTGTCAGTCACGTCTCGTAAACCGTCAATACCCAGCTCTTGCTACGCTGGGACTCACGCTGTTCCTTGAAGTTTCTCAGGAACGCTTAGTAATAACGGACGCAAAACCAAAACACCGGTTGGCTACTCGAGAATTCTTTACTGCAACACCAACATACAGGCAACTTTAAAATTAAGTTTTAACTAAGGTCTAGGAACAAATATTACAATAATAAATCACAATATTACTTCTGACAGTTTGGGCCTGTCTTCCTTCTGAACAGCGACCGATGAGACGATGACAGGTGTATCGATGTCTCCGCGAAAATATAGGGAAGTTGGGTTTGAGCAAACAACCATGAATTGATCGTTCAATCTTCAACTATATTGACACTCCCCGGCAAAAAAGGGATCCATCCCTTTTTCCATCACCACTAATACACGTCCGCTTGGATGCCATTGCGAGAACCCGGGTCACAGGGACAGAGATGAAACGGAAATCACACAGAAAAGCCAACACACCACAAGCATACCCACAGCATAATCTCACACATCGATGACGACCTGCGCCTCCAGATAAAGGCATCCTCTTGACATTTAGCAACAAAATCGCCACTTACCAGAATGACTCTTGCAGAATGCAACGTGACCATAGAACCACCTCATAATACTCCACGCACGTCCTGGTATCTACTCACTATCAATTACCACTGAAATCGCCTGTCACTCATTCTGCCTCAGTTCTAGTAACGGTGACGTGTGCAAGCCTCAGCCGTCTACACTCCCTCTCCCTGGCGTGTGGCATCACAGCTAATCATTATCTCCGTATGCATGTCATTCTCAGGAATAGCCTCCCCGGCGTATATGAACAATCTGGTGTCCTTAACCACAATCAATTCATTCACGGATGAAGAAGACAAGAAACAACTTCAGATGTAATCACGACGAAAATTTTAAGAAAATTACGCAACAACAAGGTACGAAAACGACGAGTAAACACAATGAATCCAAAAAACACCAATTGATATGAAACACCATATATATATATATATATATATACGCCTGCAACCCTTTTCACGTTGACGACTGTAAGTTTTAGAATGTTCGGACACGATCAAGACTAATCAACAATTACAATAATCTGAACTCACACAACTATTTAACACGAACATATGTACAATCAATACATCAAATGTTGTGGGCTCTGGCATGAAAACTACCCTTGAAGAACTGTAGGACTTACAGCAGTACGCCTACATTCCTTCTCAGGTTGATGATCCAAGTGGAAGTCGTCCAGACACAAACAAAATTGCCAACAGACAGATGAAAAATGATACCAATTCAGTATATACAACATGAACATATGTACAAAATCACACACCAAACACGTTGGGCTGCTCATTGATGCGCTACCCTTTGAAGAATCGTAGGACTTACAGCAGTATGCCTACAACCCTTCTCAGGTTGACGGTCTAGGTTGGAAAATCGTCGCAGAGTTCATTTGCTGACTTCGTTCTATCAGCTATATCCTCAAATCTGAACGGTAACACGCCCATGTCATTGTATCGTAGAATATAGATGACGAACAAACACACGACATATCTGATCAACCAAGCGTAGGCACAGAGTAATTTACACCAAAGATAATAACATTCAAATAGTAACTAGAAACTAGAAATGCCTTTATTCATGCAAGTCAATTTAACAATTACTCTCTCGTTTACACTTGGCTTACCCTCACTAAGCTGAGCAATATCTTTCGTCCTTTCAAATGCACCAATACTGTCATAGTCATTGCAGAAGATACTTGAGTTGATGGGCGACTGTTTCATTGTGGATGACAACACCAACGATGACCGATTGATACCAGTTGATGAAGTTACCGGTGGATCAGAAGCTGTTGTTGCTCGGCTTTCAGAAAGTTCTCACCTGCAAGACCACCACCACTGCTGTCTTTTACTATCAGCTCAGGTTTAACACTAGCATTTGATGATAGGTGGGCTACACGCTGATCAATTACACTGACGGTCTCACCGGTATCCTTACTGTCAATGTAGTTGAAGATTGAACGATCAATTCATGGTTGTTTGCCCAAAACCAACTTCCCCAATTTTCGCGGAGCCATCAATACGACAGTCATCGTCTCATCGGTCGCTGTTCAGAAAGAAGAGTAAAACACCGTCAGAAGTAATATTGTGATTTATTATTGTAATATTTGTTCACAGACCTTAGTCATACGTCATTTATATGTTGGTGTAACAATAAAGAATCCTCGAGTCAACAATTGGTGTTTTGCTTTTTCCGTCCGTTATTACTAAGCGTTTCTGAGAAACTTCAAGCGACAGCGTGAGACCCAGCGTAGCAAGAGCTGGGCATTAACGGTTTACGAGACGTTGCTGACAGTTTCTGACGGTAGAAACAGATTCTGGCGGATTCAGACAGTTGGTGACAGTTTGGATAGTCACCGTTCATCTTTCCCGGTGCCAGTCAAGTCCTCTTTGAACAAGCAATATCTGGAACGTTTTTGGAATTGGGTCAAGTTCAACAATGCCTGGGTCAAAGAAGGGACAGAGCGTCTTGGATGCAAACAGGAAAGTAAGTCATGGTGACTTGTCTGTTAATTGTAACGATGTGTCTGATGTTAAGCATGACGTGGTTGATGTTATTATTTCGCCGTCTAGGGATAGTAGGATTATCAAACTCCCTAAGTATGAACCTCGGTGTTTTAATGGAAACCCGGCTGATTATTTACAGTTTGTAAGAGAGTCTGAGATCATGTTAAGTAGTTTTTTATCAAACGATGAAATGAAGTTAATGTATTTGATGAGGTATTGCACTGGAATTGCTTCAAGAGCTATACAGTGCTGTAAGTTTATGAAGCCAAAAGAGGGCTACTACGAGGCTATGAGCATACTACGTCAAAGGTTTGGAAGACCTTCGATGATTGTAAGGAACGTATTCGAAGCTGTTAAGGGTAATGGTGGTCAACTACAAGATGACTCCAAGGCACTTACTGAGTTTTTGGATAATCCGATGACTTATAAGAATGCATTGATTTCGATGAATTTCATGAGTGACCTCAACTCTAGTTTCATCTTAGAAGTAATAGCGAGACGGATACCTACTCGACTGCAAAGGAAGCCGGTGAGGATAAGTTCCCGTATGGAGGATGAAGGTATCGAGCCGAAGTTCGATGATATTCTGAAACTGGTAAAAGATAGTGTCAATCAATCTATGAGCAAGTTTGTCAGTATATTGAATCTCACCCCTAGAATAGAGCAGTCTGAGGGTAAAATGCAATCATTGATGACGAATAGGCCTCAGAGAGGTGGATATCGAGAAGGCTCTATGATGTCTAGTAATGCATATAGACCTAGTGAGTGTAACATGCTTCGTGGTACATCCTCAACAGATAAGTTACAAGATGCAAGACAAACACGGTTGTGTTTTACACGTTTGCAAGAGGTGCATACAAAGGTGAACTGTGAACCAGTGAGCAAGTTCAGTGATAAGCTAAATGTAAACTCCAGGCCTTACTCCGAATTGTGTGACGGTAACGGTGCGGTCAAGAAGTCTGTAGTTGAAACTGGTAAGCCATTGTTGGATAGAGTGTCACAGAGGAGAGTTACTGCTTCAGAGTCCGGTTCTGACCCTACAAGTTTACAAGGTATTACT